GCTTTGCACTTTCGCCAGTTCCTGTTACTAGTTCCTGTAAAATTATGAGTTTTATCTTCCAAATACAAGTTTTATCTTGGCTAGACCTGTAAACTCTTGTCCAGTGTGGGCTAAGCTCCTACTGCTAGCTTCACAAGTACTAACTGGCCCAGGAAAATATTAACGGGAAGCACCAAAATGCCCCCAGCAAGACATACAGCGCTATTCTTGGATATCTTATGGTTAGAGAAAAATGGGTTATGTTCTGCTTGGCCACAAGATCCTGGCAATGCTCCGATACAATTGCTTCCTATGACATTTTATGGGCCACTGGTGAAACACTGAATTTAATCCGATATGAGTTAACTTTCACCAACCTGCTGATGTAACGAGTTTTGCATTGGAGGTATCATACCGCCACGATAGCCACCATATGCACCAGCATTACCATTCAACATCGCTCCGTTCGGTACGTAACCTCTGAAAACCAAACATTATGTGTGAACGGATAACTTTTTGAATAGACTAAACTGACATTTTCGCATAAGACTCATTCTCAACGATCAGGCCAAAACAAAATACGACGAGTCAAGCTATTAGACCCGCGCTCTACGAACTGGCGGACGTCTCTCCTTGCACAAGTGGCCTAGTCCGTAGATTCAGGGACTGTCCTACTTCCGCATTTCCACAGTGAGTGACGAGGGTGCTGCAGGCGTCACAGGTTCAAGCCTTGACACCAGCCCAGCTGAACTGCCTACCTACGAACTCCTCTACAAATAACGCAGGGGCGCTCGATTGTTGTTTGGTGGTGCGGGCGATGAAGAGTATTTAGCTCAGGATGACGCGAAGAAAGGATTAGTAAGCTAGAGGCAGCAGGGTGCTGCTTTGTTACCATGGAACGAACAGCTCCGAGGAACTTGTCAGGTTGCGAGGCAAGTATTTCTTACTCCTTACTTAGGGTATTTTCATTTTTTTAGAACTTACTCGAATTTACTCTTCTCTGAAGATAACTTAGCGACTACTGATTCATTACCGAACTCCACTACAAACGTTATGTAATCGCGGAATCTGCCTTTGAAATTCCCATCAACTTGAAGTTTTAACCTAACCCAATACTGATAGAACGATTACCAGCAAAAAAAGTATTCTTCTCACCGCTCTTCTGAAGTTAAAGAAACCTCAACGAAGAGAATCGCCGTAATGAAGGCCAAAATTGTGCTGCGCACTTTTTTCGAAGTTGAGCCACCCCATCTGCACGTCATTTGTTGAGGATGAGATGCAAGCTGTCATGAAGACGACTCAGGAGATCACAATCCACGTCACTCGCGGTTCTTTGTAGAGCTTCTATTTAAGTTACTTCACTTCTGCCAACTAGCCTATCACGCGCTGCAAGTCTGGACTTCCTCATGCCATTTTGCTGAACCTCTGACGTAAAAGCAGGAAAGAAAGAGTGCAGGGAGGAAAAGAGCCGAAGGAACAAAACTTCTTATTTTTTCTTTCCATATCAAAGCAGTTGATTCGATCATTGTAAGAACACAGTTTCCAAAATTTACACGTCTCCGTAGATGTTTCCCATAAAAATTCAAGGACCCTTACCTAACTGGAACTGGGTATGGTGCGACCCGACTGCCCTTCCCAATCATAAGTTTAACCTGAAACAATTCGCACATGATTCAATCTATCCTTTAGCTGATCCAGATCAAATTACCTGGTTCGCAACCTGCAACTGAACAGACGGCGAACGAAGAAGATCTGTACACCGTTGAATCAACTCCTGTTTCTTACCCAATTTAGGCATTTTGAACATCGATAAGACGGTTTGTAGTTCGTTCACGCGCATTGACGCTATCATATTCTAAAACATAGACGACTACTGAGAACAAGAAAAATCTCAGACTCACCACCGGCCAAGCGCATCGTAGAAGTTGCACGTTGCGGCTCAGCAGCATTTTTAATAATTCCATTGTACTCTATGTTAACAAAAACATTCCTATTTCGAAACAGCTCACTATTACTATAAAAATATTTACGGGCGCTATTCAAGTACACTGGGACATCGGACTGGATGGTGGGACCAAAAAAAATAGAGAGCCAGAAGAAATATGAGGACCTTTGACTTCGAGCTAGCGTACGGAGGAATTTCGTCCAGAAAGTCGTGCGCTTTTTTCAAAAAATACAGAATTTAAAAAGGCTCACACTAGCTCCAAACACGTGGACCACTTTTGCTGGCTGCACACATTTGAAACGCCAAGAAATCATTCGACTGTAAGATTGTGGATGAATTCCATTCCAGCGTTTTGGGCGTCCGCCAGCGTTCTGTGGGTTTCGATCGTCCACCAGCATTTTGAGCGTCCTTCAGTGTTTTAACCGTTGAGAGCGACTAGGAAAGTATAGGAATTAGCTGTCGCTGAGAACGCTCAAAACGCTGAAACGCTGGATTGTTACCGATACTTTCCCAGTCAGTCAAAACGCCGGTGACCGCTCAGGACGCCGTTTCAATACCTGTAGTTTCCCAGAAGCTCAGTACGCTCAAAACGCTTACAGGCGGCTCAAAACGCTGACATAAAGTATGAACAGACTCTTATCAGGCATTTCTAGAAGTGCTCATCGAAGCTTACCATTTTGACCTTTATATGAGCCTCTGAAATCCAGAAAACGTCCTGAAAAGTGCATGACAACCTGCAAGACGTCCCCTGTAAGAGAAAGGGGTGTGGAGGTGATTCCTTTGTTCAAGAAGCCGTGGCATCAAATGGTTTTGTATAAGAATGTCCCACTTTCTTGCAATAGCGCCAGTTTACAATTCAGCTATTACAGAATAATACTTTTACTACAACTGGTAGCAATCTAATCGTCAGGTAATCTGAAAAAATAGTAATCACCTACCTGTTTCGCTCTCAATGACAACGAAAAGGAAACCGAACAGTCTAACATACTAAACAAACAGTAGTGGTAGTAAAACTGAGTGTACCGTCAGCCAACTTGTTTCCTGTGCTCACATGAATGAAAGAAGGACCAATGTGGCACAGTTAAATAATTTTTTTGCTGCGTAACTTCTAACCACAGGATGGATTTTGATCGGAATTTTTCTCTAGGGGGAGGCGGGGGGGGGGGTTGACTGAGATTTTATCCCTGGAGGCGGTCTAGTCTGGAACACGAATACCACATCCGCTTGAAGTAGGTATGTACGTCTGCGTCAGGAATCCCCACGCCGTAAGTCACTATCGGAACGGACGCCCGTAGCTGTGAATTTCGCGGCAATATACAAGCTTACTGAAAATTTGATGTTTCGCGTTCCAGACGCCGGTACTTGGGGGCGCAAGCACCGGGCACTTTCAAACCAAGCGGGCGTGGTAATCGTGCTCAGCGGCTTAAACTATTCCTGAAGACGAAATTCCAGCCGAATCTTCTAATGGAAAAATTTACCAAGACCTGGACTGATTTGAACTACTTGTTTTATAACACGCTCGTATGCTGTTACAGAGGCGAAGGTGGTATGGTGAGAAGTGCTGCGCTTACCACTCGCGCGGTCCTGGGTTCGAATCCCGGGTCGACTCCCGCCCAGGCCAACCAAGCCTTCTACCCTCCGGGGACGGTAAATTGGTACCAGATTCGTCTGGGAGGATAAAACACTGACTTGTACATCGGCCCTCGCAACGCATTCAATAAGCCACTACGATTCTGAATGGAAGTAGAATGCGTGCCGCATCCCACAAAGGGATTGATCAACGGCGAAGACTTTATCCTTATCCTTTTATGCAGCTACAACCCATAGAGCAAAAGAATAAAAAACGTTCCCCCCAGTAGTATACTACCCAACTCTATTTGTAAGATCTTATAAAGGGGGTCTGAGAAGCACGATTGCAAGAAGTTTAACCTATAAATCCCCGAATGCTATTCCCTGCCGAAAGAGCGCGGTGTCACTGTGCAAATTGAGGTTAGCTTTACAACCAGTTTGCCCTTTAAAACATCTCATGCTCGCACTACACAAGGGGGGGGGGCTGATAAACGTTGACCACTGTTAGATTAGAGCCGTTTCAT